ATATAGTTGGTGTCCCGTTCTCTTCCAGTGGTAAACTGATCACTATTAACAAACAATGGGGAAATTAAGGTGAAATGAGACGCATAAGTATTTCTGTGTGAACCGGTCATACACTGAACTGAACCATATCTGGCACACAAAAACACACCTGTATCGATTGCGACAGACTAAAACAGAGCAAAATATAATTTCATCAAAACCTCAACTCATTTCGTGACTCACGTGGGAGATGGATCGATCTGACTGTATGTGGTTGGGGTCATCATGTATTCGACCGAGTTTGGGGCTTGTAATGAGGACAATACACATCCCGGTGGAATCATTTGGGTTGCAGGTGGCATACCAGCAAGAAAATACTGCGTGCTCGGAATACTGCCAGTATAGCCACTGATTTCTGATGCTCCGCTGGCAGGCCCGGTGAGCATCGGGTTTGTTGGGATCGGTGGAAGAGAAGGTGGTGGTGGTGGTGGTGGCGGGGGTGGTGGTGGTGGTGGCAAGAGAGGTGTTGCACTAGCAGATGACAGACTGTTAGCGAAATGGAGGTTTTGTGTGGGCATCTGCACGGTATGTGCTGGGTAAATCGTTACGGACGGATGTGCTTGACGCAACCCATTCACAAGGTTGCTTTTGTTATTGCTACCACTGTTGTTGTTGTTGTTGTTGTTGTTGTTGTTGCTGTTGTACTGGCTGACCATGAGTTGTGAACCGTTTGGCACCGAGGTACCACGCACGGGGCGCATACTCTCGTCCAACTGACGTGGATCGACCGCGCTTGGATTTTTAAACGTGATTGTGGATTGTTTGAAATCGTTGGTCAATAACAAATCTATGGGAAAATTTGGAATAGCGGAAACCGATGTCAGTTAAGCAGTCAGTAGAACACGTGTCACTTTACAACTGACTGCTTTTATTCACCACGATGATCAGAGAATTGTAATGAATGGCTCTTAGAAACCCCTATTTTAATGTGTCCATATTCATTAAACCTACCGACTAAATTCATCCCACATCATGAGGACAGCATTCAAGTTCAATGCGTCATTTAATGGTATTCAAGTTCACTGTTATCTCGTTCAGTATCACTGCTAACCTAAGTGAGACTTTATGAGGTTTGCTAGTCCCAGTCCCAGGTGTGAGATTATCGAAATAGGAAGGCTTTGATGGCCAATGTTTTTCACCGTGTGTGACAAAAATGTACATAATTCAACGACAAAGGTTAACCTAATCTCATGTCTACTACTCAACGTCTGTATGCACTAATAGTTAAATGCGAAAGACCGCATATTCATGCGTGTGGTTACTGACTGGGTTACTGATGGGTCATCTGTTGTACTGAGGGAAACAGTTTGAAATCGTTTTAGACTAGCTTGACAACGCTCATTAGGCTTCATGGTACTCGTAAAGCGAAACACAGTCCACACTTACCTCTGGTCATTTTGGCACTTTTCTCCTGGTGCTTTTTACCTGAAATTTATGAATCAAAGAAGTAGAGGGAGAAAGGTACTCGGGTTAGTGTCCGATAGTTGCATTCCGACGTCACACTCTGAGTACATCCAAACAGCATTTCCGCGCATGCAGTTCGCCAAATATGTATGACCTTCACCTCAAAATTCAAATTTCTTTAAATCAGGAGCTTCCGGTAAATTGATAACAGTTTCCTTTCTTCACACCACGTACCACGTACAGATTGGCTATTTTCAAGATAATGCATTTTTTGCATTTCACATGACCCATTGGTTATTTTTTTCAAATCAGCAGAACCGAATAAATGCCTTTGGATTACTTAAGTCCCCATTTATATCAATTGAAGGTATGCGGTTGGGCTTTCATTTGGTTCCAAATCGTGCCGCTACAGGTCCCGGAGTTTGGGATACCAGTTTCATCAGTGATCGACAATTCCCTGAGTTCTAATCCTTATGTTGCTCATCACACGACAGCGTGCAATAGAGGAAAATAACCTCCATCCGATAGGCTTAATTTTAAACAACAAGGCATCTTGTATTTCTGGTTTATTCTAACATCAGCAGATGTTTGACAAAGTATCTGTATGTTCCCTTTGTAAAGTGATTTCTTCCTTGACCAATGAGTAATACTAATCACAGTTCGGCCACGCCCATCTGCATCGTGTCAGACCACTAAAGCTCCCAAACGTGTTCGGTAGCACGTACGTTGGACAAAATTTGTAACGAACTTCAGGCTTTCTGGCTGAAGAGGGAACACACGAGGACAATTTGTGTGCGAACATATGTACTGAGACCAAGTCTCAGGTAACCCAAGTTTTACCGGGCTCTAAACGTGACTGTTCCACGGTTCTGTTTTATTTATCTTGTTTGTTTAGCGGAGTTTGTGCCCGCCATGCAGGAGGTTCCAAGCCGGGAATGACAAGTATCGTCAGTGGCAAACATTTTTGTAAACCAATAAGTAGAGATGGAGATTTCGAAGTAATCCCGAAATCTCTCATATGGGAGTATAGTAGTGAGACAGTGGTATCTCGACGGTATTTTGTGGTCAGTATTTGGAACTGGCTCATCGGAGTGAATGAAAGAGTTGTTTGTACATCCCCATGGGTGTATTGTGGGGTTGAAGTAAGAAACAGATTGACAATATTCAAATTCCAGTTGTCAACCGCATAAGACTAACCTTGAAAACAACATGGATAGGGCATCATTTGGACAGATGTGAGCTTCAGCGTGCGTCGTCGAGCAATCACCACAGCCAAGATACCAAGTAGAAGAGCCAATGAAAGGAACAGACCCACATAAATAGCAATTTCTTTGGCCCTAATCGAGCCGGGTTGTTCCACATTTTTCAGCGACAATTTATCTTCTTCGTCCGCCCGAACGGAACTCCCCCAGGGGCCTACAAATTTCAAACGGTGTAAAACATTAAAAAAAATAAATAATACTCTACTATCCCGAAAAACAAACAGAACCAAGTACGTCAGGCATTCCACCCCTTGAGAACACTCAGATGCAACTTTTGTGTTTCCTTTCAGAATTGAACGTAGAACATCTCTCGATACACACATTTTTTGTTCATCTCAGAGCAAAAAGATCACTAAATCGGTTCATTAGATTCGCATAGCCAACTGGTACCTTTCTCTTATTTACTTAACATTGATGCTGACACTCACTTTAACTTTCGCGCCATACTATTAACGAATTTCCGTAATGAGAAATTCACCCTCTAAGCGCTAGTGTACATCTCACATAATTTGTCTAGTCGAACTGAATCATGATTTTGTCGAGAAAAATTTCACAACAATTTCGTACTAAATGGCTTTTTAGTTTTCAGCTGCTAACTGAACCGGTTAGCTGAGTTGAGTTGAGCACATCCAATCGCAGGTAAAAGTAGAAACTGCAGACGATGAAATATCTGCAACCCGATGTACAAGCTTATTACCCGTTTAATCATCATGCCACTCAACTTAGGTCATGAAACCGGTCATCCCTATGCACGATTTTGTCAAATAGATTACGGCCCGCTTTCACCAACTCATTGATTTCCCTTTGGAGATGGTGTAACCATCAGAAAGTGTAGTGTGCAAAGATTACTCAAGCACACACAATAAAAATAGAGGTGAGCTAGCGTGAGAGAGATAGAAAATTAGACATGCTCATCATACGGACTATCTATAGTTGAAGTTTTCAAACATGCCTTACAAAACTGTCGGTTCGATATTACAGCCATCAGTGAGAAAATGAGACTAACGGAACAATGCTAATATCTCCGTGTAGTTGTACGTATTTTGCCTCCAAATTATCTGTTGATCTTCAAGTAGTGTAATTCACCTTGGAACAGGCACTGAAAGTAGGTCATGCAATTTCTGAACATTCCTGTACCTGTTCTAAATAAGTGGCTGTTAAATATTTTATGCACATTTCCCCAAGCACC